TTAACAATTATATCAATAATATTTTTCTTTATACTTCAAAAAAAAAAAAAAAAAAAAACTAAAAAGTATTCTACATTATTTTTTGACCTTAAAATAAAAGTTTTTTAAAGGTTATCAAATCAGTATACAATCACGAAATTAGATTGGGACAAATCACGCGAAATTTTCATCTCCAAAAGTATAGTGACTCACTCTACTATCAAACATGATGCATAACAAATAATTGTTAGCTTTATTACTTTAACGACTGACTCTAGAATAATCTCTTACAAAAGCGTGCCCTAATTTTCTTCCCCCTCCGAAATGAATACTTAGTGAAAATTTTTCGAAGAGGTTTAATTATAATCGAAGGAAACTTGAATCTAATAATAAGGCTACAGAATAGAGGCCATTCTTAGGGCTCTAAGCTGAACTCTAAAATTGACCTTTCAAGGTCGGCTCGTGGCCCCCTTATGCCCTTTGATTATTTTTGTCCGTCATGTTAGAGTTTTTGATAATGAGAAATAATTGGTTAGAGATTTGGCTAGTTATTTAAGAAATTCCCTGTCGTAAGAGGCCGGAGAATTTTTATAAGAAAGTGACTTTCCTTTTGATATATAGTTAAAGCATAAAATGTACTTTATTTTTGGAAGTTAGAAACAAAAATTTTATTTAATTGCAAAATTTATAATAATGCTTTCACAGAAATTTGCCAAGGTTTTTAGAAACTTAACTTTATTGTGAGTTTAATTTAATTCTAATTATTTATGGAAGTGTTAAAAAAATTAATACAATGAAGTTTTTTTGCTTTTCTAAAAATTATATTTTATTAATCATCATAAGTTTTTTTTTTTTTTTTTTTTTTTTTTTTTAACGTTTTAAAGCGTTTTTCGGTGAAGTCATATCAAAATGAGACATTAACGGGATTTTGGATGCCTTCAAATTCGTGCTTTTTCTAATATTTTACTTTGGTATGATATTTAAATTTGGATAATATTTTTTAAACCTACCATTCTTAGGATGCATAATAGTAGATATGACTATACCAATAAATATCTGTAAATTGTAACTAATTTCGAAAGCAATGATGTCCATACTGAATTATGCTATGTACAAATGCTAACCGATGTTCAAACCACCTAACTAAATGCTGATAGTTTTAAACTCGAATGTTAGCAAACATTTTGAATATTAAATATTAAAGAATAAAATTTAATCTTATCTAAAACTACCCAAGTTTTATTTAATTTAAAAATGGAACAACCCAAAGCGGAAAATTAAATATTTACGCGAAATAAATTTAATCACCGCACTGCAATTGCCCTGACAAATGCAGAAAAATCATGCTCAAATTGGTTCGAGATGTATTTTTTTAAAAATGATTACAAGCGGTAAACTGCAATATAATAGTTTAAAGTCACTACAAGCATTTCAGAAATAAGAGATGGCAGTAAGTACCAAACCACACAATTCGCCTGGGTTTATTGAAACATAAAAATTTTTATGCAAACTAAGAAATAAAAAAATACTTATTATAAGAATGAAATCTAAAACATTAAATTCAAATGAACAACAAAAAAATTCCAAATATAAAAATACCCAAGCTTAAATTTCTCTAAAAGTTAATAAATAAAGTAAAACAATTTGAAAAATTGAGCATATTAATAGTCTAGATCAGCAGTTCTTAAAAAAAAAAATAATAATAAATTGGGAAACCGTTGGCTTAAATAGCCACAGCTAAACTGGAACTACGAAATTAAACTCACTTAGTTACATCGTAATTAGAGAGAGGGAAAAGAATCACGTATTGTCGCAAAGTACACTCACACAAAAATTGGTGCAAGGCTGAACAATAATTTCGGTATTTTCCGGCATAGAAAGATCCAAATTTGATGAGATTTGAATACGATGTCGAATTGAACGACTTTTTCGTTCAGGTTGAACGACAGTATCGTAATCAAGTTTAAAAATTACGCAAGTATGGCCTAATTTACCATATTATAAGAGCAGCACATTTAAACTGTATTATGATTATTAAACAGGCTCCAAAATGCCTAACACTGTGATCCAAATCCCTGGAATTCAATTATGATAATTCCGCTATTCTAATTTATTTTATATTTTATGACCGTCGTTGAACAGTCAACCCAATTTGTGGGTTTACGACCACCAATATTCAACCTCGTAGAATTGCAATTTTGAACCCAATCCAGAAGACAAGGAAACCCTTAGATCAATAATGGGAGAAATTTTCTTTCGTGGAAGACTTTCTGATGGAACTAACACGAATTTGCGTTACATGGAGAGGAAGAACACGTGAAACTCCCACGGTTAGCCTGACGGCAAGGGGACTCTAACCCATGATCCGTCTACCACCGAGGATATTTCATGTCAGCACTATGGTCGGTGCAAGCCGGATGCGGAATTCGTATCGACCAGCTATCACCGTGATCGAATCCCGGTTCACCTCATTGAAAGCTCTATCCCCTGACTCATTGCGGCTTCCACAATTTTATTTATAGTAAAGGTTAGCTAATTTACCAAAATTTTATTTATCTGTACAAGTGAAAAATAGCTAAAAAAAAACATTAAAAAAAACGCATAGTTAGGAGACTTTAAATTTCTACGATTCAATACTAGATTCACAAAGAAACAATCAATGCACTTAACACTTGTTTCAATCGGGAATGGTTTCGGACCAAAACATAGAAAGGTCCATTTATAACTGTCGTGATAACAAGTCATACAAAACACCCATCTCATTCACATCCACAAAAGCGTCAAAACAATGTTACAACTTAAAGACCTAAAAATAGAGCCCACCAAAGATGCGAAGAAGCAAACCGCACTATTATTTTGTCACTTCAAGACTTCAATTGGTAATAAATAAACCAGGGGTGGGATGATCATCCCCCAAAGGACCCCTTATGTTTCGATATAGACCTCCCTATTCCCATTTTGCGAAATGTTAGCGCGTGTATATAGCATCTAAATAAAAAGCCCCCCTAAAACAATAAATAACGTAATGGGGTGTTTCGGCGAGGCAGTAATAGAGGTAGATATTGCAGTATTATGCATATTGGTATGTTTGAGGAAAATGTTGGGCTATTATGCAACGCATGTAACGCGTTAGGTGTTTTCTCTGTTTCTTGTGTTATTTCTAATTTATTCTTTCCGCTTATATTTCGAAAAAAAAAATGTCGTTTTGTCTCAATTTTTGTAAACGATTCAAAAAAGTGCAATAATATCCTTCATTTTTTTTTCTTTTCTTACGAAAAGTTTAGTTAAATATATTTTTTCTTGTACAGTGTAATTCGCGAGTCTATATCTAAACCTACAACTACAGTTATACTCTCAAATATTAGTGAGCCTTGGATGTTATAATGTTACTTTTGTTACATTAGTTTGTTTTTCGCTTAAAACAAAACATATGTAAGAGCTTGAGGCGCTCCATTTAAAGACTTTGTTGGTAAAATACAAAGAAAAAAAAAAGATTTATGTCTCCTTAAATACAAATACAAGCTGAAGACACGAGTAAAGAATGTGTATTGGTCGCTTAAATCAGAAATATAATATTTATTAACATTCTGAGACTCATCTTTTAACATATTGGGCAACATTTGATATAATTTTGTCATTCTAAAAATAATATTTCTTATTTTTTTTTCTTTTCGCATGCCTTTACAAAGCTTCATTCTATGTAAAAATATAATTAGTTTTTAACAACAATAACAATGTATGAAATTTGAATCAAGTAACCTCTTGAAAAGTTTTAAGGCCTATTATTATTTGATTCTACAACATTTTGTTTCATAATCAAAAAGTGAAAAAAATACAGTATATAAACAATGTAATAATGTACGAAATGTAAAAAATGCTACAAATTAAAATTTATAATTTTATATAATAATTAGAAACATTAACTAAGTTAAATACAAATTTAAAAAAATATTATGACATTTATAATTTAATTTCTTATGGGCTGCGGGTTTCCAAATAACATGAAGAAAAAAAACTATTTCTTGCTGTTTTTCAGAGTTCTGGTTTCAGAATATTATAGAAAATAGGTGAATAATTACACTGAGGAAATTTTTTGTTTTTGTTTTGTTCTCTTTTGCGTGAGATTTTTCAGCAGATCTTAAATACATCCGTATCACAGATTTATAATTTGCAATCGGTTTCTCGTTCCAAACTACAGTTTTTTAAATACATTTTATTCCATTTTTTAAAATGTACAAATTTAAAAACGTTATGTATAACGGGGGTTGCGTAAAAGTTGGGGTGCACCATTAAAAGATTAAAATTGCATACGAAACCATGTCCGGAAATGTCGCCGGAAGTGCTATGGTCACTTCGCTATTATGATTTATTTTTTCTTATGCTTCTGAACATGTCGAAAACGGGAAGCGTCCCTAGCCGCGTACGACGATATTTCTGGACATGGGTTTCATACAATTTCAATTCTAATGGTGGCCCCTAGAAGTTTTTCGCAACATTTACACGACTCCCTGTTACATATATCGTTTTTAAACTTGTCCATTTCGGCAAAAAAATAAGCTAAAATGTCATTTTATAAAATATACGTAGCTTTACATGCAAAACTAATTTCATATACGAAATCCCCATACTTTAATTGAACAAGATTTAATTGAACATTTATACATTTGCAACAAAATATTTGTTCCCCAGTTATTATCTTCTCCGCTTCCATGCAATTTCTTTGTTGGGTATGGGTTATAAATGTATGATAAAGGTTGTTTGTATTTAATCTTTAGCGGCGCTCAAGACATTTCCACTGTTTAAATAGTTAAGAATTTGATACATCTTTGATACAATTGATTGACATTTGATACAATTGTTTCAATGTTTTTCACTTCGCTAGTGATTTGATAGCGTAATTGTTCACTCTTTTCTTGGTTATTTAATTGTGTATTGAGACTGAAAATTACTTAAAACTTGTGAATTAGATTTAGAAAAGTTTTAAATTAAGATGATATAAACTTAAATAGAATTAAACATACTTCCGCGTGTGCTTGCTAATTCGTTCTGCTAAATCTTGCATTTCTTGATCCAAGGTTTTCCAAAGTGCTCCACCCTTTAAGAAGTCCTTTAAAAGAGCCGCCTCTTTTTGCACATCTGTAAAACTTTTTGTTAAGCTCTTTATTTCGATACTATCAACCTAAAATATAAATCATGAATTAAATAAATAACGATTAATGTACCGCATTTCAACTGTTTACTTAAAGAAGCGTTTATTACAGCATTAAAGGTGCACAAGAATATGCACAATACGGAAGCTTATTGAGTAAAAAATTTTACAAAATACGCAAAAATACTTCATTTTTTAAAAGAAAAATGTTTAAAAATCGTTTTGGGTTAACGATGAAAAATAGTGGGTTTATAGAATAATTTTACTTAAATTCATAACATGCATTTCAATTTCTAGTAGCTTAACTCACAAAGCAAATAAGTAAAACATTTTAAATATAGTTATATTTTTCAAATAAATTTTTGGATAAACTATTAAACACGTCGTGAATTATAATTATTGATTAAATCGTAGAAACATGTGTCATTAAAAACGCCTAATGAGCGAAAAAAAATATTCCAAACTGATAATTAATTCTGTTTAATATTTACGTTTTTCTGAGTTAGAAACGAAAGGTATTAAACTTAATGGCGAAAATGTGCTTCCAGGTTTGACGTAAGCATGTATGAGAAACCAGTATAGAAAGTATAGAAATCAGTAATTTTACAAATTATATAGTTAATGTGCGGATTAACTAGGGTGATATGTTAAAGGGCGAAAAAATTGTTTCTTTCTTTAAATTATAGGTAATCTGCAAACAATAATACTTAGATAATCTGCACAATACCTACTTGTTTATTTTATTTTATATTTTATAACCGTCTTTGAACAGCCGATCCAATTTTGAACCCAATCCAGAAGACAAGGGAACTCCTGGATAAAGTATTGGGAGAAATTTACCTCAATGGAGGACTTTTTGATGGAACTAACCAGCATTTCCGTTACATGGAGGGGGAGACCACGAGAACCTCCTACGGTTAGCCTGACGGCAAGGGGACTCCATGATCCGTTTACCACTGAGGATATTTCACGTCAACACTGTGGTCGGTGCGAGCCGGATGCGGAATTCGTATCGACCAGCTCTCGCTGGGATTCGAACCCGTTAATCTCATTTGCAAACGAACACTCTATCCCCTGAGCCATCACGGCTCTATCTACTTGTTAAAAAAAAAAAAAAACTCCTTGCTGAAACAACAGGACGTTTCTAAAATTAACATAATTTCTTTTTATTTATTTTTCGCTGTCTAAAAAATCAAGTTACAACAATTAACAAATTAGTTAATGGAATCAATCACTTTAAAAAAATATTATACAAAAAATCAAACGCTTTAAATTACTTACGTTGGGAGTATTTTTATCACAGACAGATTCTTGGGTAAATCCTTCGACGAACTTTACATTATAACGAATGGCACGGAGTTTGTCATTACATATTTTCCATTTGTTGGACAGTATTTCTAAGGTGGTCAGCTGCTTTTGATTACTGTAAATAAAACAAAAACACATATAAATATAAACAAATTTTTGCATTAAATATATTTCTAAAATTAGTTTGATGTGAACTATAGTTTTTTTAAATTTTATTCTTGATAACACAATACTTGATAAAGAAGTATTTTTATTGTAACTTTTAAAATAAGTTTTGTCAGAATTCACATACTAATGACAACAAAATTGCAGTTCTTAAAAAAAATCACCCCTTATAAAGAAAATGTAGTTTCGACATGACTCGATTAAGAATCTTCATTGGCTTTAAAAAAAATGAAAATTAAAATAAAAGTCAACAAGTTACGAAGCGCAAAAATAGGCGCCCATTCCCAAGACTTGCCTGACATGAATGAGAAGAAACAAAAGTGATTTGAAATATAAAACGTAAAGTTGCAATGAAAAACCACAAATAAAGGTAAAAAACAGAATTAGAAAAATCGCAGCAGCAGAGAGTGGAACAAAAACCAATCAAATAATAAAGAAAGATAAAAATTAAAAAAAAACCACTGTAGCTGAGAGTCAAGTAAGATCTTACCACTTCAGTTTCTTGGGATTATTTATTTAATATTTCTGTCAGGTCTTATTTTGTAAAAATTGATCGTATTTAATTAGGACAAGCATTAAACAAATGATTTCATTAACGCTGTAAACAAATGGTTCATTGAATGGTACATTTTCCCTGAATTTTTTTCTGTTGAAAACGTTTTCATGCCATCGCAATTATGATCATTTGCAGAGGGGATGGCTCCCTTGTTTTGGTAGCCAGAAGACCTGTGCGCAAAATCGAGCACTTTAAGGTAGAACAGTTTAACGAGGATCGATATCGCGCATCCTCGGACCCTACGCAGGCGGATCTAAGTGGTCACTCATCCGCTTACTGACCGCAGCAAGTGATGCTTGACTTCGGTGTTCTACTGCGAACCGTGTCTTTACGATTAGTCCACTGCCGGACTGGACATTTCCAAAGATATGGGTTTGAAATATATAATAAAAATAAGTTAAGAGTATAAAATTTAACTACTTCGCGAATACCCTATGTAAAATTTTTAACTACTTGCGTAACAGAAAGCTGATAGCAAGTGATGTATACATGCATTTACTCCAATACGTTAATTTTTTGCTACTTTTTTAGATACACCTACAAATTTTGAGGCGTTAAATCATTTAAAATTGTAATTGAAATTACAAAAAAAAAAGAAAAAGAGATGTAACAATCGATGTTATTAATTGCGCAAAACGGATGTCATATAAAGACCAGATGTAATGACATGGTATCCCCCTTTATTGCAGTTCCCCAAATCATTTCACAGAACGATTTTTAATCCAGCCGGAAGGAGGATGTTCAACCTTAGCACGTGATGCGAAACTTGATAGCCCCTTTATTTTTGATATTTTTCACCTATAACTAGAAGTCAGCTCACGTTCAAGACTATTCAGCAAGTGAGAGGGTGTCGCCAGGATTTTTTCTTTCTTTTTTAATTTTCTTTCCCTTTTTTTTATCGTTTTATTTTTAAGGTTCCGTCGTGAAAGTTCGATAAATCGGTAGGGGGGGAAAAAAATCATTCCTGCTTTCTTCGCCTTTTTATTTTGTGAAATTATCAAAGCGTTGACTAAAAGAAAAATTAAATGAATGTGAAAGTTTAATTTTGGGATTTTCAAGCAATTTAAAATGAAATGTTTCATGCTTTGCTTTGTATAAATAACAATAAAACAAAGGGTAAAACTAAGCAAAAACTGCTGAATTTTACAATTTCTGTTTTTGTAAAAGCATTAAATGTAGTGTTTAATTTTTAAAAATGGCACAGCATCGCTTGCAAACTACATTGCATGTTATGTAGTATTTAGAAAGTAACCCAGCCAAATGATATGTCTAGGGAATAAAAAGGAATGATTTGATTACTTTGGCGTAGTAAGGCCCGTTTTTGCTAAAAAAATAAATAAAATAAAAATAAAAAAACTGAAGAATTTTTAGCAAATAAAATCTAACTTTCAAAAATAAAAATTTAAACTAAAATTGTTCTGAAACAGCTTTTTCAAAGGTTATTTTGTAAAATCTAAATATTTTTGTAAGTTACCAAAAAATTTAAGTTTAAGTTTTGATACTTGTTTCTACTTATGTTTAATTACAATATAATTATAACCCAACTTCATACATAAATTAAAAATTACATTGTTATAATTTTTTGCTGAAAAGTACGGTATAGAATATTATAAATTGGCAGAGTTAAATGCATTTTTCATTTGATTTCAGAATTTTTAGGCATGACAATAATACAGTACGCAATGCTACATTGTACAAAACTTACTCTAAATTTTAAAAATATTCTTCATACTGCCCACAAAAGTATTAAAAAAATTTGTTCGTCTTTATATTCCTTTATAAATGAGTTTCAAAAATGCTCGGTTATCACTTCTCATATAAGTGTATTATTGAATTACGTTAAAACAGATTACAGTAGTTCCAAATTTTTTTTTACTTTTCACAATTTTTTTCAAAGATGAAAGAATATAGTGTTTTTTCATACTTAAAAAATCGCTATAAAAACGCTCAAAAGTGGGCACTTTCACTTTAAGAAGAAGATCACGGATACCCACACGTGATCTATGACCTCAGCGCCAGCTGAACATTTATAAGCAAAATGGCGAGCTAAAGTTGAATTAAGTTTTTTCACATAAGTTAGATTGTTAATTAAAGTGTGGTTAATTAAATATACAGTGCCGTATTCGCTGAATTATAATTCTTCCTAGTCTACGACTTTCACTTACGCATATTTATTTGATTGTAACCGTGATATATGTTTGTTTTGTGAAGCGACAACTTCCATACATAATTATTTTATGTTTATTTTACATGGCTTTGTGTTAAGTAAGAAATATACAGTAAAAGAATATAAATTTTTGTGAAAAAATTAGTCACTCAAGAGAATTGATACCTGACGAGCTTGGGCTAACAGGAAATAGAATGGAAAGAACAATTGATAACGTAAATAAATGCCACGTTTCTACAACCAATCAGGATGGAGATACCCACACAACGTTACTTGCAGGTATCCCATCGTATATATGTTTCCAACGGGCTTAGAACAACCATGTGTTCAATTCCAATAAAAAACTAAATTAATGACTTTGAAAATTATAAATAGGCCATCAAATCTCGGTTTATGGTCCTTACGATGCAATTTTTCACTTTAAATCCGGAAATATCATCAAATCGTAAATAGTAAAATCGTGCAGAAGCAAAAAACTTTATTTTGTTTTGTGGCTAGAAATGCTAACATTAAAAAGCCAATAAATAGATAACGAATAGGGTGCTTTACTCACGAAGAAAACATTTTATATTTTTCTTGTCATGAACTTCAAGGTAGTAAAAACTTGGGAACATTGGATCTTTTTGTTAAAAGAAGTTCTCATAAACTAAAAATGTAACGTATTAAGGAAAAAATGCTGATTTTTTGTTTTTTTAGTATAAAACATAAAATCTGGGTAAGTGATTCTTATTTAATTCATAATATATAAAAATTAATTAATAGATAAAAGAATAAAATAAATAAAAAATACTGCAAAAATCATTCGATTGTTTGTGTTTTAACATAAAATAAATTTAAAAGTGACTACTATTATATAACTAGAATTTATTTATTCCACAATTATAAACTATAAGAGTTTATGACAAAAATTTCAAGAGACATAATTTTCTATACTAAATTAAAAATACTACTAAGAATAAATTATGCCTTCTGAAATTTTTTCACAAACTTTGTAGTTGTTAAATAAATTATTAAGTTTCAGAAAAAATTCTATTTTTATACTACTAAAAAAATCAACGATTATTATCGGAACAGAATAATTAACACAAAAAAATGATATTGGTGTGCATAAATTCAAAATTGAAATTTGCCTAATTAACAATTAAAACATAGTAGATTTAGAAAAAAAAATTGACGCATGCAGGAATAACTATATTAAGTAAGGAACCTATTTAGGAAATATTTCTAAACGACTATGTATATAAAATGCGTGTAGTGAAGTATTATAGAAAATATTAATTGTAACGGATCATTTAAGAAAGAAAAATTATGACGGAATATGTATAAAGTGGTTATGATGAAGTAATTAAGTGTTGTGGATAGTTTATAAATAATAAACTTAATTTCAAAAATAAACTAAATTTTGTGCTTTCTTTTTTCATTAGACTAGGGACATTCTCTTAACTCTATTCATATTTTTACAAAAGTTCCATCTAATAATGGTACTTTTTTATTTATATTTTTATTAATTGTATTCTTATTTACACTTTTTTAAAAATAGATTTAAACTATTCGTTCTAGTATTTCTGAAATTAAGAAAAAAACCCACCTTTTTAAGATTTTGTATTTAAGATTCAAAACAAATTTATGTATTTTTAGTTAAATTTTATAGAAATAAGAAAGATAAGAAATAATTTAGGTAAATAAGAAATAATTTAATAGAATTGTTGAAAAATAATTCATTTCATAAGAAAGCTTTTCATATTTTTAATTTTATATAAAAAAAATTCATATGTAAAAAATATTGACACTTAATATTTCATATATAAAAGCTTTTTATATTTTAAATTTCATAATTTTAATTTAATTTAGAGTCCTTTTTATTTTATACTTAAGCAAAAATATTTTTAAAATGTACAATGAAAAAACATTTGGAAATGAAGAAAACTTTGCTTTCTGATTTTTGAATTTATATTTTGTATTTCAAATTTTCATTCCCTTTTTTATAAAACTATAAATTGATTTTTAAATGTCACAAAAATGATAGATGTTTTGATATGACAGACTTTTCGGACATATCGCCTATTATATCAATATTGTTGATTTAACTATATAAAAGTATTAACTTTAAATTCAGAGTTTGATTACTTAAATATTATTTAATGATTTGGTTTTAATATCATGCGACTTTATTTGCTTTTTTCTCCTAAAAACTGTCTCACGAAAAAAAGTGAGGGTAAAAAAAAAAGAGACGCCAAAAGAAAGAAAAACTCTTTGAAGCGTAATACCTGTGACGGAAGCCCAACATCCCACATTCTGATTGGATGCTGATCACGTTCATCTTAAATATCGAATCTGGTATTGGTCATCCAAATCACGCACACATCGCACATTAGTGTCACATCTGGAGATCGAATTCTAAATGCATTTATGTTTTTATCTTTTGTTTCACGGGTAAGAAATGTAATCAGGCATTCGTAAAGGAACCAATGGGATTTTAAAAGTGACATTTATTTGAATTTTTGACAATTCAATTAGGACTCAAAATGTAAACAGTACCATTTAGGTTTATGTATCCAAGCAAAATGAATTTCCGGAAATAATTTAAAACTTTGGAAATTGAAACAAATAATTAAAACTTTTTCACAACTTTATACCTTACATTTTATGGTTGGAAATGTTAAACTGAAAGCTATTAAAAAAAGATTTAAGTTACGGAAACGTAAGTGATACGTTCTGATATTGAAAGAACTTAGTGGATGTTTTAAAGTGATGTTTATTGAAATTTATTGAATTAGTTTTAAAGTTGAAACATAGCTCTTTTTTATCGCTAGGAAATAAAGATTACCCTTTTTAGCATTCGTTCGACTGGTGTATTACTAAGTTGACAAAATACGCGCATAAAAGCATGTTGACGAAAGGCTCTTCTAAGATTGCCACCGAATGTTTGATGCCAAATGTCCAGGGAACTTTCTTTCATCTTCATGTGATCTCTGAAGCTTAATAACTTGACAAAATCAATTAATTTTGTATTATTAATATACCCAAATAAGCTAAAAATAAATTCTTTCTTAGGAAAATCTGATTTAAAAAAAAAACACTTAAACTTTACTCTACTGTTAATTGAATTTTCTATTTCTAATATTAAGAAAACAGGATTTTTGAGTTGATAATTGGGTTCCGGTTTTTACAGCTCTATAAATTGATGAGCTTTTAGTGAAAAAAAATGTTTTGTGCTCTTTATCCTAATGTTTCAAAGTGATTGTTAAATTTATTAAAATCTCAATTAGTATGAAATTCTACAAATCTTAATAAAAATTTTCTTCAGTCTAAATTCTCATATGATCTTTATATATCTAAATATTTCTGTAAGAGCTCTTATAAAAAAACTTGCAAACCGCTATAACCATATCTATCTTCTAACTATGAAATAAAGTTATAACTGAATAAATGTTTTTCTAGTTTAGGGAACTTATTCAACTTATCTAAAGAGTATTTACTTTAGATTTTATTCATTTATTTCAATGAGTTAAAGAAGGTTAAATTAAACTTATCACTAGTAAAAAAATTAAAATAGCTTGCTTTTAGAAGTTGCCCATCACCCTCGATGATTTTCTCTTAAAAAATCAATTAAGATTTTTAAAAAATTGAAAATATAATCCAGAATCGGCATGCTACATGCAATTCACGATATTTGACATCAATTAACGAATTTTTAAAAACCTACAAAAGGTAAAAAGGCTACACAAACCTTCATTTAACCAGTTCAAATCGATTAACTTACCCAGAAGCGTCATAAAATTAATTTCGATGTTTCATTTTAACGTCCCACCCTCTTATTAAAATCAAATTTCTTTCCTCTGCAGTTACTAAGTACCAATTGTCTTAAACCGAACTTAGAATGCGAATCATATAAACAGAAAAGTTCTGAAGGGCATTATCGGATGCGCATTCCAAGCACGATCAGAGGTTTCATGGATTCATCAAAATTGCGGACTCGACTTCAATCAGGAAACCATCATTCATAACCCAAAATATAGTAGGGCTTTAATGGCAATTAGTGGATGTCATTTAATTATTACCATAATTCTATATGAGCTTTAATGAGTCGTTTAGTTTATTTCCGTTGACTTCCCAATGAGAAATTAGCTCAACCCGATTGGGTGGGAACGAGGATTTTTAAGTTAGTCGTGTGTGTAAGGGTGTTTGTGTAACCAGAAAGGTACCAGATTTATTTATTTTTTTATCGATAGACCATAAATACTGTATTTCAACAAACTATTCCATCGAAATATTAGTTTTTGAAGAGAAGTCGAAGAAACGAAGTCACGAGAATTAATACAATATCGATCAAAAGATTTCATGAGCACGTTTTAAAAAATACCTAGTTTTTGAGGCATTTTCGAGATTCACTTGGGTTAAATAAAGTACACCTTTAAATACTTTCGATATAATAATCGTATTTTGATGTACTAGGACTTACCTTAATTGTTCAAAGGCCTAAACTTAAATATGCAATTTAATTTTGGAAAAATATATACTGAATCACGAAATTGTACATAAAAACGTGTTTTCTCAAAATAAACATGCGTTTCTCAACTGATTCGGATTTCTGATTCTCGAAATAGGGGGGTCCGCTATCTTGAAAAAATGCTCCCAATGGATTACGCAGGAGCGTGCTCAAACGCTTGGAACCTTTAATTTTAATTTCGCATTTTATTTTTCCATTTTTTAATTTTTGGCAAATTTTTGCTTTTACGGAAAACATATTTTGGGATAAATTTGTCCGAAGAATATGAAGAATTATGTCGGAACGTTAGGAAATCTCTAACGTTTTAATGCCTTGTGAATTAAATCGCATTCCAGGCTAAAACTTTGAAAGTTGTTTCAATATCTTTTACACCCAACCCTCTTATACACATGACTAAATTTCTAACTCAAAAATTCGTGTTTCCATCCACTTGGATTGAGAAATAAAAATGCACTTGAAACTTCGAAATATATTAAATGGGTAAACAATTAATATTCGCCCTTTAAATTAATAGGCCCACTTTGTAAAATAAAACAAATATGAAAAGAATATAATGGATATAATTTTGTAAACTTAAATTTCTAGATTAATTATTAAATTTCGTTTCTAAAACGGTTATTTTTAAATGCAATGTACGTATGTTACAAGCACTGCTCGCCGCAAGCAAGGACTTTAAAATGACAAGTGGACTAAATGGTACACAAGAAAATGTCTCAACTAGTTAAACAGCACGATATGGGTGACTAACTCTGGTAATTTAAAATGCTCAAATATTCGAAAAAGAATATTTTTGTTAGACCCAAATACAGCTTTAAATTTGCAGTAAACAGTGACACGTTAAATCAAACGTGTTGTTTTATACCCAATTACAGCGCTCTAGAATAAAAGTGTCGATATTAAATCAAATACAATGTATTTTATTTGGCTTTTATGACCCAACATGTTTACAACCATCTTCTCTAAAAGATGCTTCTTCGGGAATTCCGTTTCTAAATAGAAAGATGAAAAAAAGAAATCACCTGATTTTGTTTGTTTCTCTCTCTCTCAACCCATTTGAAGCATAATTTTAATTAAACACATTTTTAATAGCTTTTTTATAATTATATATTAATTTAGATCAAAGTAAGTGAAAAATATTATATTTAGTTTTTTTTTTATAATTTATGGTTATGAAAAACGATGTCATAACATACTAACAGATTTTTTAGTAATGGTGAGACTGCTTTTGGTTGTAAAAAATAAAAATAAAAAATTTTTGTTTGTTATTAGAGCACCAGAAAACTATATATAAAAAAGGCATCGGTGTCTCATCTGCATCAAGGGATTACGCTTATTTTTGTTGTTATTTTGTTTGTAATAATCCATTGTCAGTGAGAATAATACTTCAGTGCACTTTTTTCCCGAGTTTTCTTTCACAATTAATGTAAGGGACTGCTGCAGCTGTATAAATGACATGCCAATTTGAAACTGCTTTGTCAAAAACAAACTCGAAGATACTATCTTGATAGATTCATAAACCTCAAAATGCATTAGATTTCAGTGACATAATTTCACGCAATGCTGTTCCTTCGCTTCACCAATTTCTGATTTCACGTGTTAAGACTAAGAATTGGGAGAGTATAGCGGGAAAAAGTATACCACTTACTTTTCATAAATGTCGTCCCATCGCTTATATAGTTCAGTAACGCTTTCTTTGAGAGAGCAATCTTTGTAATCCAAATCACCACCGTGTTCTGTCATGAATCGATGCACTTCAAAGTTTACCGCAAGCAGCTTCTCTTTAGTGTCCTGAAGAGTTGTCAATAGCATCTAAATGGAAGATATATTTTTTAGATATTACTTTTTTTCTTTTTTTGGTAAATTAAGAAGCATAACATAAAAGCTAGATACGTTAAAAATATAAAAATAAAATGACTGAGTTAAAAGTGTCTTTGAAGTATACCGCTGTTTTGCTTATTCGTCAACACTTACCATGCATAAAATTACTTGCCAGTGAAATCTTAAGATGCAAATGATTAGTGGCACAATTCGTACTATTTTATTATTTAATCCCCTTTAACATCTTGAACTTTCATAATGTTCATGCAAGTCAGACAAAGTTGCACCACTGTTAAGTATACAATATTGGCCGATTTGCAATATTAAGACTGGAAGGAGAAGTTGCACAATTTGAACAATTTTATAATTTCATCATTTAAACATAGTGTTTATACAAATCCTCGAAAGGTGTAAGCACGAAAGCTAATTGTAAACATTTGGCCAATTTACTTGATTAAGGCTGGAACAGGTGGCATTTTTAATTACTTCGTTACCTTTAATATCCATAGAATTCACGCATGCTTTTCAAAGATGTATGATTGTTAAGTGTACAACTCTTGGAACACTCTGTTCAAATTTGGACCATTATATCAATACCTTGAACCATAATACCGTGAAAAATTTGTTGCATTATAGTGTCATCAAATTTACGAAGGTATGTTTTAACGCCTGAAAAATTACATTAACGGGCTAGTGTTAACAAATGCGAGATTTATCCTTAATTAAGACATTAATGGCGCACAGTACAACACCACAATTTTGTTTGGAGAGAAGGTGGTAACATTAGTCTCTAGACCTCCGCACCAAGCTGCACAACCGTGGGTAGATGTTTCGGCCTACTTCCGAAGTCATTGCATTAGAGTGGATTTTGAACCACCTTCTATCAGACCCATTATTTAGAACAAGGAATCAAACCCAAGCCGAGGTAGGTGAAAAAATTACCACCACACCGACTGATGAGAAGCTAAACTTACGAACGATTAAATTGCTAAATAATAAGGCTAGTTTGGGACTATATTCAAATTTTATCAAATTTAAACCATGCCATGGTCCCAGGTTACACAAAATTTCTGTCTAATATGATCGTTAAGAGTTTCCTTCAGAAAGAAAAAGGATTTTACTTCCTCCATCATGTTAACCTAAGAAGGATTATATAAACATTATCTATTTTTTTATTCAGTAATAAATATTTTCGAATAATTTTGGTTTCATTTTATGTATTGAAATGCATGTTATTGAACCTAGTCACCAAATTTTAAGACTAAGTATTTCTAAAACTTGAACTTAAAGAAACTTAGAGGGGGGAAAAGTTTTAAAAATACTTACCTTAAATTTTAAGATTTGGTAACTAGCAACACAATTCAATTAATAATCTTTTCTCAAAAATATTAATTAGTTATATACTAAACAAAGAAAAATGACGTTCATATTTTTTTGTATGGTTAACAAAACGAAAAGAAAATCCATTTTCTGTATAAAGAAGATCCTTATTTGCGTAGAATAACGATGCATACATTCTTATAACAGTTTTAATTCCATAAAAAAAAATAACAATTTGGATATTTTTATATATATATATCATACACCATATCATTTAATACTCCCTTATGAATTGAGTTAATTCTTATTGTATTTCAGTTTTAAAGGTACCATTTTAATCCTCAAAATTATGTAGTTTAATTATGATAATGCATTCATGTTACTTTAGTTTAATAATTAACTTATCCTAATTAAAAGAATGCTTTTCATTAATTATCTAAATTGCTTAGAAAATTTGTCAATTATATAATCGTTGTTAACGATATTATTATTATTTTTTTGCCTTTGTAGGTAGTAGGTATCGTTGCTATGTCGTTGTAGGTGTTAAATTCTTTGACATTCTGAGTCAATAAATTTTTTAACACTTTTTTATAAAAGCTGTATATGAAATTTTGCTCTAAATGACAAGACCTCCAACGGTTTAGATTTTAAAAACAAAGAAAGAAAGAAACTTAAGGAATAATATGAAAGAGGATTAAAAAAAACTAAAATTAATTTTGGACTAATTTATATTTAGAATTAACTATACCTAAACTCTTAGGTTTTATAGATGATTTTAGGTTTTATTTTCTGCATCTATAACACCTAAGAATTTAGGTATAGTTAATTCTAAATATAAATTATTCCAAAATTAATTTTAGTTTTTTTTAATCCTCTTTTTTTAATGATTTTAGGTTTTATTTTCTGCATCTACAAAACCTAAGAATTTAGGTATAGTTAATTCTAAACATAAATTATTCCAAAATTAATTTTAGTTTTTTATAATTCTCTTTCATATTATTCCTTAAGTTTCTTTCTTTTTTTTTTCAATCTAAACCGTTGGAGGTCTTGCCATTTAGAACAAAATTTCAAACCACAAATGATATTTTTAAGAGAAAGAATGAGAGGCAGGAAAAACTTAGATTACGGATCCATTAGAAAAAGAAAAGGGAAAAAAAAATCTAAATTTCAGTTATCAAAATAATAACAGTAGTTGTCTGATATTAACACGCGCTTTCATCACGCTTTTTATTATTACATCTGGTTGTCATTGTTCCCAAATGTGTCTTTCTTAATCAATTTTCACACCGACTGAGCTACTAGCTAGTTAAATATGATCTTCAATTTCAGACATCTGCAAATTACACTTCTCAATTCCTGCCCTTTAACTCAGAATCACGATTTGTCAATTGCCATTAAGTTTGTGTTGCTCATTGAATTCATTGAATGACTTGATTGCGAGAAAAAAAAAAGTTACTTTGACGGAAGCGGTCACCTTTTATTATGTTTTAGAAGCGTCTTGTCTCAGAAATGAAAGTTAGTCTAACGTTCTTTATTTTCGGAAATTATAGTAATATTAGTTCTACTTCATTACGAAAAAAGAGAAATAAGTCAGAGCTCAAAGTATGGCAAATTTTTATAGTATTCCTTTGTGAGAATATGTCGGACGCATTTTACAACGACAGGTGCGAGTTTTCTAAATTAAACTCGTTCTTAGAAATGAAAGAACGGATTATATAATTTACTAGAAACCGTATGAATGAAATGAATAGTTAGATCTGGTTTTATAACATTTTACTAAATTAGCACAGGGAACTCAATACATCGCCGACAAAGAAAAAAATCTCTGCAAAGTCAAAGACTTAAAAGAATTTGTATTTTAATTTTTTATCTTTTTGTAAGCACTACCACATGAGTTTAACTATAGTACAATACTATAGTATAGTTATTTACCTTAAAACAAATATTCTTTGTCATTTTTGACATAAGAAACCTAATATTTTGTGGGTTAAATACAAAATATAATCGATTGTAGTAACGCTTTGCACCATATTTCATTGTGATATAGAAAATTTATGGTGATATTGCAACTCTAATTTGATTCAAAATTAATTATAAATGTCTGTGACGTTAATTTTATTTTTCTGAAATTTCACGATAAATTACAAAATAGAACAAATGTTTAAAATATATAACGCAGGCAAAAAATAAAATCCTGACTGAGTCAATACAAATACAATTGCAACGGTCTTTTATTTGATGACTTTATAAAATATCTGATTTTCACAAATATTAAAATAAATTTTACGCATTTAATTTTATTTAAAATCTGCTTCTAGAGTAGAAACTTCAATAGACGGATCACGCAGTATAATATCAAAATCAAATTTTGCTGGAATTTACTAACAATTTAATTTGGCTTGCTATACTCATCAAGCAAAGTTATAAGAAATAAATAAAAAATCTACATTATAAGAAATAAAACTCATTAAATCTTAGTTTTAATAAAAATTAGTTTTGTTTCGTAAAGTATTGATTTTCGAAAATTTTGATTATTACAGTGAGAATTTTGAAAAGGTCGGCACGGACATGATAGTTTTCTAGCTGATTTTACTTTCGTCAATACAAATAAAAGAAATAATGCGCACTCAAAAACCTAAGAAATTGTTTCATTGTGAAAAATAAAAATAAACAACAAGAATTTTAATTTTAGTATTAAAATTTGTTAGAGATAACTTACCTTAAGTTTAAAAAAACAATTTTTTTTACAAGTTTAAATCTATACTATTTTCGGATCACAGTACTAAAACTTAATGTACACATTTCATGGTAAAGCTAAACAATTATTTTTTAAATAGAAGAACTGAATCATGAAGCTTTTTGAATTTAATGATTAGAGTTTGTACTTGAATGATCAGTTTCCGAAGTCTTGAATTCTAATTTAGTATGAAAGTTATATATTTGTATAATTTACAAAAAATAAAATAAAAAATAAACCGCCATATGAAAAAAATGAACAAATTTGTCAAGTTGGAGCTTGACATTTTACTTGCATGAGTTAAAATTCATGGATCAAACTTAACATAGAATTTAATGGTTGAGGACCTAGTTGCGACTGTAGTGTGCTAAACTCAAAATAAGGATATAATGTGTTCAAAAGAAAAAAAAAAATTCCAGCCATACTAGATATATGTCAGACGCCAAAAACGAAAAAGAGAAGAAAAAAAAGGTAAGTTAAGAGACGCAAACTCCTGGATAAAAAATAACATACCCTGCAGTTTTTATTTTCTTTAAGTGTCAAAATAGAAACTTTTAAGAGTAAAATCTCCATCTATATTTATAATGTGAGATATCATCTATGACGTGGAGTCGAAAAAGCAATTTTTTTACATTAAAAATTTTGTAAATGAAAAGCTTAAAGTAACACTCAAGTAATTTGTAGTGCTGCCATCTATTAACGAAATATTTCAATTCCTTAATGAAGAAAATATATAAAAGGCCATCCCAGCTTAGACGTAACTAAATCTAAAAACACAGAAAGCGAAAATACTACATTTTAAACCGTTTCATAATTGCTTAAAATTTTTAATTTAATCGAAACAGCATATAAGAATTAAAAAAAAAAGCAGCAAACACATTTCTAAAAAAAGTAGCAAATATATTTTAAATTTGGAAAAAAAATACGACTTATGATATTAAAAAGATTTTATTTGCAAAATAAGAAAATTTTTAATGAGAACTTACGACTTAATAATAAAGAACACTTTCCTTTTCTTTAATTCACAGCTTTCATTTTTAAAACAATAAAATAAAACCGGAAAAAACTTAATTCATGAAAGCAAATATTATATTTTGAATAAAAGTGTTTCCCTGATCAAAATAGGGAAAAAAACGCGAAAGTAATTGTTTTTAAATCTTTAGTAAATATTCGGAACACATTATTTTATTAGCACAAATATTTAGTTTCAAATAAAGTCAATTGTGTTTAATAAATCAACAAATGTTGGTTTTTAAAAAATAAAGTTGACTTTGAGCAATTAAATAAATAATTTTTACTATCTCTCTTTTACAGTCAAAATAACTATAATAAATTTGTAATTGATTAGATACTTGAAAAAAGTTTCCTTATTTATTTTAGAAAAAACTTTTCAACAACGTAAATAGATGGCAGCACAATAAGAAATAAACTCTCCAGAATTTAGTTTCGAAATTCAATTCTCCCATTGTATTAGACTTGATTGTTTGCCAAGGTATTAGAATTCATCAGACACTATTTTACTCAAGGACAGAAATAAATAAGTAAAAAGCTACAGAGTTGAAATAAGAATTTAACTAATGAGTCAAAATTTTAATAGCGGTAACACCCAAAATTCGATATCATAATTTTTACATTTTTTGTCGTTTTTTGAGAAGTATATATTATACAAAACAATAGCCCAAAACGATTTTTTTTCATTTAATTTATTTTACAAGATATTAACAATTAAATTTTAAAGCTCTTTTTAATTAAAAAATAAATATCTAAGGATAGAATGAATGGATTTTAAAAAAATGCATCTCATTTTACGCGGAAATAATTGAAGTTTTTGATAAAATAATTATAATAAAACAAATGTTTAAAAAATTTAATTTTTATTGCAAAATTAAGTTGTAAAATGAAAAACAAAAATGTTGTTAATGTCGTACAAAGTTCAAACAAAACCCATTTCAAAGTAAATTTTATTCTGAACAAAATGGCTTTTCAAAAAAAAATGGATCGCAATTCCATAAAAAGTTATAGCTTTTTTCGCGAAACGCTGCACCGCGGTGGGCTCTGCCACTCCACTCCGCTGATCGCTCAATTGCGCTGTATCAGTTAATTTGGAGGGAATTTAAAAACCTCAACTAAAGTTTCACAAAATAACAAACATTATATTAAATAATAAATATATAATTTATAATTTTAGGTGAATAATATTATGAATAATTAGTTATTTATAATTTATTTACATATTTTTTTGAGCTCAAACTTGGAACTAGAAGAATATATTTTACATTTGAGAGTTTCAAAATTTTCAACTAAATAAGTATGGTATTCTTTAGTTCCATAAATTGTTGAAGCTTTCTTAGATCTTGTTTCCAATTTTTTTTTCATTCTCAAGTTCAGTTTTTTGCAGAAGTCAAACTGAATATTATCGAAAAATTTACATGCCCAATCGAACAATTCTTTAGGTGTTGTTATATTTTGTGTTAGCAAACTCCTCTTTCCTGCTTCCCTCTTCACCGTCCCACCAATAACATCGCATGCCCCTTCGCCATGAGAAGCTTAACATTTTTGTAGACACTTCGATGCTTTAATTCGTTCAGTGGGTTGCAGCAATAGTTCATCATTTCTTGATTTTATCTGTAAGTTTATAATTAAATTTCGTGATAAATATACAAATCAAATTCTTACAATTAATGTATTTCTTAAAAAATGTAATTTTATGTTAAAAAAAACAATAATTATTATTAAAGTTGATATTACTAAGTTAAGTAACAATTGAAACTTACCTTATTCGATAATTATTATCACGTAGATCAGCACTCCGAACAACCTTAACAAACGCTCGTTACAATTCAAGTATAAACATGAAAAAACGCGCAGCGTGTGAGGTAAGCAGCGCATAGATTATAAATAACTACTTATTCATAATATTCTTCGCCTAAAATTATAAATCATATATTTATTATTTAATATAATGTTTGTTATTTTGTGAAACTTTAGTTGAGGTTTTGAAATTCCCTCCAAGTTAACTGATACAGCGCAATTGAGCGATCAGCGGAGTGGAGTGACAGAGCCCACCGCGGTGCAGCGTTTCGCGAAAAAAGCTATAACTTTTTATGGAATTGCGATCCATTTTTTTTTGAAAAGCCATTTTGTTCAGAATAAAATTTACTTCGAAATGGGTTTTGTTTGAACTTTGTACGACGTTAACAACATTTTTGTTTTTCATTTTACAACTTAATTTTGCAATAAAAATTCCATTTTTTAAACATTCGTTTTATTATAATTATTTTATCAAAAACTTCAATTATTTCCGCGTAAAATGAGATGCATTTTTTAAAAATCCATTCATTCCATCCTTAGATATTAATTTTTTAATTAAAAAGAGCTTTAAAATTTAATTGTTAATATCTTGTAAAATAAATTAAATGAAAAAAAATCGTTTTGGGCTATTGTTTTGTATAATATATACTTCTCAAAAAACGGCAAAAAATGTAAAAATTATGATATCGAATTTTGGGTGTTACCGCTATTAAAATTTTGAATCTAATGCATTTGCCACTAATCAACCTCAACCAGTTTCCAAATAAAAGCATTTTAATGACAAAAGAAAGCTACAGAGTTGAAATAAGAATTTAACTAATGCATTTGCCACTAATCAACTTCAACCAGTTTCTAAATAAAAGCATTTTAATGACAAAAGAAAAAAGGTTTTTCAATGAAAAAAGTAGCTGAAAAGCAACGTTTATGTCCTGGTTTCAATTCTAAATGCTTAGTAATAATTACAAATTTATTTAGTTATTAAATTCAAAAAGCAGTCTTAATTAAAATTTTAGATTTGATTTAAAATAAAAATAAAAAAGAGAATACTCTAATCAAAATACAGCATTTGGAATCTATCTATATTTATGCGTGTGTATATAATGATTGATTGATTAGATGCTCCAGAAACGGAAGTATATTCAACGGAAAGGGGGGAAAAGGCACTTTAATTAATGAAAACATTGAAAATATATAAATATATGTATTGTTTTTAACAGTCCAAATCCATATAATAAAAGAATTCCATCGTAAATGTAAACCAAATTTATTTAATGATAAACATTTATTATTTCTTGCATATAGTTTTTATTTTTTTTAATGAAAAGAATATTTAAATTTCAATGAATTTAGAATAAATTATTAAATTCGTGTGAAATTATTTTATTCTTTATAAAATAATTTCTTGGATCTAATATTGAGCTATTATAATATTTAATTTAATAATAAAAATGATATGATAGAAATATATTAAGTCGTCCCGTTGGCTGGAAACTTATTTTTATTGCCCTCATGACCGCTCCCTTTGCACGCCATTGAGCTTCTGCACCCATAAGTTTTATGGAGAAAAAAAAACTGCAGACTATATAGAAATAGAATTTCTTGAAATATTTAAATGCCGCATGATTATGGCACTAATTACAAATCAACGTATTTTCACATTACTATAAGTACATTTAAAGTATTTTCAAAATGTCATGATACCTGAAGCTGAGAAATCTTCTCTTTGAGTTCATTCCATGTAATAAAACGTTCCATCTCCACCTCGGTGTAGGATTCAATTTCTTCCATCGTTTGAAACAATTCATCAATATTCTTTTGTACCTTCGTAAATTTTTGTTTTGCAATATCGCTAATTAACATATCTACACTCTTTTGGAGAAGTGTCCACTCTTCGATTAAATCTAAAAATGAGAAATATTATGCTTCTTATTCGGTAGTTTGTGCTATTTTGTTTTAAACGAAATAAAAGAAAGAAATTAAAAGCAAACAGCATATGCAGCAAGGGAATCTGTATATAATGAAGCTTTGCGTGTTTATTCTCAATCGTTTCCTTTTTCATTTATTCCCTCTCATTCATAACTATTTTGTTTCGTAATTTTAAAAAAAAATTTTTTAAATTTTTTGAAACTTTAATTATATGAACAGAAAAATATTGATTCATGTGCTAAGGCTAACTGATAAATATGTACAGACAATGGACAAATTAACGAAAATACTTCTATACTAACCCATTTTTTTAATATATTTATAACGTGANGACATGTTAACTTGATTCTATGTTGGGGTACCTTTTCATAGATGGAGGTTGGAATTGTCGATATCAACTCTCCCCACATTGGTGACCTTCAGACGAGGTGTGAACATGCCTACTTAGACAAACCCCCACTTCGATATGAACATGCCCATCTTGACAGTAACGCCCACTTCGATATGAACACGCCTGCTTTGGTGAATGGTCCACAATGAACAGTTGACTTGCTACTTGTAACTGCGATATTGTCCTCCTCGCGCTGTTGCTACTCAGTCTCGATCACACACAACGTGTGCACTCGCCTGATAAAGGCAACACAGGAGCGACCACGACCGTGAACTTAATACATCTCTAACGATCAGCATTTCAAAAGTACTATTAAAAAAAAGTAATAAGCTTGTAACTTATATCAATTATTTTGGTTATAATATACAATAACTGTACAAAATTTCGTAAACCTAGCTTGAATATTAATGGAGATATAAATATTTTTATAAAAAAAAAACTATATTTTTCTTTGCTTTACGCATTCCTACTATAATTGCAGAAATATTCAACAAAATTAAGATTTTTTTTATAGAAATTTTAATTAAACAGCAAAACTATAATTGCAAAACTTTATTAAAAAAATTACGCAAGATATGAGCATTTAGAGTAGTACTTTCATACTGTGCATGCGCTGAAAACATTAAAAACATAGTTTAGCTCCATAGTTTAGCTCTGAATCGTGTTTGGTAACCTATGAAAAAAGTCCTATTTGAATATCTTGAAAATGTAAAAAGTTCTTATCAATTTTCTAATTAGTTTTTGCACGTTTTTTAAGAAATCTCTAACTGATAGGGGGTTTTCTTTAGCCACACTTCATTTCGTAACACATTACAAAATTTTTATAACAAATAATAAAAATATTCTACAATAATATTCTACTATTCTACATCAATAATAATATTCTACAACAAAATGTGATGGTATAAGGAAAAAAAAACATGTAAAATAAAACATACTTTAATAAGGAATTGTACTATATAATGCTGATGACATTTTTAATAAATAATACTTAGTATTGCAAATTATAATTTGTGGAAAACACCTTACCATTTCAAAACTTTCTTTCCAAATTTACAAGAACTACTACTTGGAAAATTGCTAGAAACTTTTAAGATGTTTAAATCTGATTTGTTTCATATTTTATCAAATGCGATTCAAAACCAAATTATGAAAAAAATTTAAAGATATTAATACAAAATTTTAATAAAAATTGCGCGTTATTTCATATTGTTAAACTATTTCATTACTATAATTATTCATTACTATCATTCATGTGAAATAATATAAAAACAGATATATTCATATAAAATAATAAAATAAAAAATGTCACTCAGTTTCAAAGCTTTCATTTTATTATTATTTTTCTTTAATTTATAATTCTAGAAGACACGGTTGAAGTGAAAGGGAAATGATCAAGAAATTAAATAAGGATATAAGATCAAGAGCATTACGAATTGTGAACCCCGTATTTTCTAAATTTTAATGAGCCCCCCCCCCCCAATAAAAAGGATTTATTAATAAAATGCTTCAGTTAAAGAAAATACAAAACTAGATTTACATATAATTTCATTAAAATCAAAAGTCACGTCAAAATTTTCTCGAATAAAAATACTCTGACAGAATTTTTGTTAAAAAAAAATGGTTAAATAACAATTTGTTATTTTATCATGTTCAACCGAAACAATCAAATAACCATAAAAAATAGGGCATTCAAACCGCTAACTGTGAGGAAAATTCCAAGTACGGTAAGATTTTCTACAAGTACGGTTTAAAAAAATCAGATTTTTATCCGCACCAACTTGTTCCCACAGCCTACGAGAATCGAGGGCACGTTCTTTGAAAGCTGGATGCTAAGCCATGTGAACGAATTCATCTAGCTTCGAATGCCAAACACAACAGTGGATAATCTTTTAACAATATGTGTGTTGTGTACACTTTATAAATTTAGTTCCTTGCAGCTGGGTACATATTTCAGCCGAGAAATCTGAACAGGGTTTCGAATGAGAGCGTTGACACAATATTTTCCTTTATTCCTTCACACATGAGAAGTTTCAAATGTCTTGCCCTCCTGAAATGGTGACTCTGGACTATTAGAACATAAAACTCTCATTCACGCATAGATGGCAGCATCACAGACCTGCTTGAGACAACAAATAAAGTACTTCCAATTTTTTATGATAGATGATACCAATAGAAAAACTTGTTAAACAAATTTCCCCCGCACACTTGACAAAACACCACTTAACCACAACTCAAAAGTTCAGTTAAATTTCCCTTTTACGATCATGAAACTATGCTAGTTGTAATTGGCTACAAAACCGTTAAGGAGAAAAATAATTTTCCTAAACGCACGATTTAAATGGATGAACAATAACAGCTGTCTATTTTAACGTAGTCTTAGAATGAAAATTCCAACAGTGTATGTTATTATTACAAACTTTACGGGTCATGTGAGAAGAATTTTTATTTTACAAAATGTCAAGTCATTTTATAACCAAGCAAGAGTTGCAAAAGCAATTTTAAATTCTAATTAGTAGCAGTTATTACCCTGTTACATTGGACACTATTAAAAAGGGCTAGTTAGTTTGCTTGTAGTTTTTGGCTCTAGAGTTAGAAATGTACCATAAAACTGCTACTGTTAAGGGAGAAAATGTATATACATACAAAGTATTTCGTTAAGATCACCCTTAATATGCATTTTTTAAAATCCTTATTAAAAAAAAAGATAAACTAAAAGGTATGAAATTTTAAGAAATACACATTAAGGATGGTCTTTATTGAAAACCCTGTACACTTATTGTTACTTACGATAAAGCTCTTCTAAGTCGCTGTTAGAGAAACTGATACTGTTTTCTCCATTTTCTATATGGTCTGAAATGGTATGCAAACAGCGAAGATGCGTTCCGCAGGTGGCCAAAAGCTCCGCCTGCAAAGTGAAAAATTTGTTATGCTTTTCATATATGAAACTATATTATATCAATTACATGACATTTACTGTAATCTATTATTTTTTAGCATTGCTTATTTATTTAATCAACCAAGATGAAAACTTTTATTTTTATTTTTAAATATATTGTTCTTTTTGGACACAATTGCCTTTTTGCCATCATCTTGCAAAATAAAGATGATGGCAAAAAGGCAAAACATAAAAAGCTGTTTCTCACTCATTTTGTTCAAGGAAAAAAAGAAAAAAAAATTGCCGTACGATCTACATCACTAGTCGAAATTGAAAAGAACTGACGCCACCCACGAAAAAAAAAATAAATAAAAAATATTTAAAAAAATCATTAAATCTTCCTATGACACCATTTTTACGCTTTTTACCAGCGAAATGTTTCGTGTCGTACAAGAATTGAACTCTTTGCAGTCTATCATCAGCATATTTAAAACATTTTGGGGACCTATGAACCATCACTTGTATTCACTTAAAAAATAATATTTAATATTCACAAACATAGTAAAAATCAGCTGGAAGTTCTAACTATAAATTTAAAAGCAGAAAGTCAACTATTTCAACTCATGATAGAAAATTAGCCTCAAACATTCCTAAACATTACAAAGTAACGGAGCACTCGTTATAGTTTAATTTCAAACACTTAAAGCATATAAAAGTAACTATCGTTTAAATATAAAGATGTAAAGATGAATTTGGCGATCTAATTAATAATGAAAAATAAACTTTAAGCATACAATCTTACTTTCGTCTCAGGCTGTTCGTTTATTGACATGGTTCAGAGTTGTTATATTTAGGGCTCAAATAACAATATGTAAATCATATCAATACATTATAAACAATTAAGAAGTTTTTCAAAAGTTGAACTGACGCAAAAAAGATCTTTTGTTTTAATCTGGAAATCGATAAGCAATCTATGTATTCTATAGCTATTTCCCATTTTATCTATTCTTATCATTCACAGAAAGACACAATTATTACATTAAAAACGAAACCATTTTATACGATGTAGATAAATTCACTATATAAGAATTCGAAATTCTCTAGTTGAGTGTTTAGAAATGTATAGATAAATAATTTAACTCCAAGTCGATCCAAACAACTTCAGACCCAAGTAAAACTCCTTGAGGCAAAATATTGTTATTTTTTTAAATTCAATAAAATAATACAAATACATAAGTTATCCCGAAAGTTTATGAATAAACAACGTATGCCTGTTTAATATCATATTAATTATTTTTATAACACTTTACAAAATGTCAGTGGAAAAAAAATATAGAAATGAAAGAAATTGAATGGAAATTTGTAGCACGGACGCATTTTAAAGTGGAAAAAGTAAAATCCTAACAGTTATCACTGTGTAAGCATGTATATGTCAATATTCTGTGGAAAAGAAAAACAAAAGAAAAAAACTGAACCAATCAATGCTGTATTGCAGTGTTTCCCAAACTTACGACTGCACTAATTACAAATCNTATTCTGTGGAAAAGAAAAAAAAACTGAAGCAATCAATACCGTAGCGTGACGATAAATTTGGGGGGAGGGGCACGCGAATTTATTTTTAAAATCTTCTATATATTATTTTTCAAAAAAAAGCTGATATTAATAGGTCGTCTCTTGATTTGCGTTACATTTTTATTTTGAAATGATAAATTTATAAAAAAAACCTCAAAAACAAAATAAAGTGTAAAAATTTTCTATTTTTTACTGAAATTTTATTATGAATTAAGTAATGAAACAGAAAATATGATAATTAAGCAAAGATTCATCACATCCTAATTTTTTAAGTGAAGTTTTTTTTAAATAAATGTAGTATACTCATTATATTATTACATTTAAAATACTCACTCGAAAGAAATGACAGCAGTTCAAAACATGTTTACAAAATCAAATGAAAAACATTTGATCCAAATTTATTTTTATAAAACATTTAGAAAAAAAATATTTCTAACAGCAAAAATCATTAAAAAAACTACTAAAAGTGTCTTTTAACTTAAATGAAACTGAAACTGTAGTCAATATGTGAATACAATTATTTACACTGAAACCAAACTGCATAAAATTGTATTCACGCATTTACTAAATTGTACAGAGAATTAACTACTCAGAGAACATTTCGCTAACTTTTAATATCCTGGCGAAAACGTATAACGGCTTCTAAGTTTCCTTGAAATAGAAAAGAATACATTTTTCTGAAAAAATAAAATGAACCCTTCTTTAAGACTATTTCCGATATCATATTTCGTTGTACTAAAAATAGAAAGTAATTGAAATGAAATACTAACAAAAACATGATTTTAAGGGGAAAATAGATTTGAAAACACAGCTGTTGTATATTATAGGGAAATTATGGACTTTTATAGTTTCGAAAAGAAGGAAACTTTATTTTTGATGTATTATCATTTTTTTAAGGATAACCATAAGGCATAAGAAAACTTAATCTTAAAAGGAGATAGCAATTTTTATATCATTTTCATGGACGAATGAATTAAAGTAAGTGACATTAAGTCATAAAATTCAAATATATAATATTCTAAATAAAGAAGAAAGGCATTTTAAAACGAAAGTATTTATTTAGAAATAAATATATAAAAAAATACAATTATTTACTCTGATTTTTAGACAATTATGACAACTGATATTTATGCGCATTCGAATTAAATTCTTCAAAAAAACTATCAAATATTTTAACACAAGGCACTAAATGTGTATGCTTGAATTATGTAGTTATAAACTTTTTTCAAAATAAAAATAAGCATTATTATAGAAATAAAAAATTTTAAAGTTTTGTTTAATAAATTTAGATAATTAAATTCAATGATATTTAGGTCTTATAAAATATAAGATTTTATTGTATAACTTTTTTCTGTGTCCTTGATTCGTAGTTTCCAAGGACTTCTTCAAAATTTGTGGGAAGATAGATTAATCGGTATTTTACGATATCACTGAATATTTACATGCTTGACCAGATATATAAGGGTAAAAAATGTATGTCGCGCTCACATCGGCCAATTTAGTTTTCGAGCCGCGCTCATAACAGTATTTCCCAAACTCAATTTTAATTTTACACTTTGATATTTAAGGTGGGCACTACATTAATAAATATAAACTTTAAAAGACGAGAAGTAAACAACCAAAAGGGAAAAAAATGTCGAATAAATAAAACCCTTATCACTTAAAAAAAAAGTCGAAATTGAAACTAGGAGGACCACTTAAGAACATTACATTTAATTAAAAGAACAATTGCTTTAACCGTTAATCAAGTTAAAACAAAGTTACATTAAAAATTAAATTAAAGAACGAAAATTCCAAACATCGACTGATTAAAAAATAAATTTAAAAGAAAGACTATTAAATGCCAAATATGTAGCTCAATAGTTAAAATAACCAGATTATGCTTCATTTTTCAAAAATAAAATTTAAAATGGCCGAGCTAAAATATTTTATACGCAACACCATAGTAAGTATATAGCACCTTACAACACCCTAGTATAGCATAGGGTTGTCAAAACTAATTAAGCCAATTCTTTCAATTTCTAGCCTTTCCTATTTAAATGCATCAGATATTTTATGAACAAATTAATGAAATAAAATTAAGACTAAGTGATTTGTTAATTAACCCTTTAATTGGTATTAAAATTGAAATCAAAGTTACAGCTAACACAAATACAAAATAAATTTAAAAAAAAATCATATTAAATGTCAACCATGGAACAAAACAGTGACAATGAAATTGTCAGCCATGTTACATAACAATGACAGTAAAAATGTCACCATCTAAATGATAAAAAAATAAATAAATAAATAACATGAACAGATTCAATAAATATCTCAAAAAATTTGAACTTGACATACATACTTTTGAATTGTCTTGTCACACAAACGTTAATTTAATTATTTAAAATTACAAACAGACACAGAGATCATAAAAGCGACGTTAATTTTTGAATAGGAAAAAAGTATACATCCTCTAACTAAACAATGCTTACATCATTTAAGTATTCCTTACTTCTTTTAACATTGATCATGGCGCAATGCCAAGTCATCATAAACCACTTGTTGAGTAATGAAAAAGGTCATGAATATATTTTAGTCGTGATCATTACAATCGTTTGTTTCGTCACGATTCAAAAATATCCTGCTTTATTTGTGTTAGGTTGAGTCTAGGAGTGGATTACGAACGAACAAGTTGAACGCGTGAGAAGTGAATCAAATTATTTATAACCCTATATCAATTACTGGTCAATTGTTTGAAATCTCGATTGAATTACTTCATAAATAGAAACGTGATAAAAACACTTGTGTTTAATGAATGGTTTTGTATTGAGTAGCCTCTTATGGGAATAGTTGGATTTATTGTTAAACGCTACGTTTCGATACCTTTGAATAACTAACAAAAAGACCAATAGAAAGGGATAAAATAATATGAAAATAAATAGTTTATTATTATTAAAATTAATGAATGCTTTTTTTATTTATTAAAATAAACGAAAATGTTTTTTTAAGCATTGAAATTGTTGAAAGCCATTTTTTAAACTTTTCAGTCATAGAAAATACTGAAATTTTTTTTTCTATTTATACTTTGCAACTAATTATGATACTTGGCTATCTTATTCAAAGATATATAAAATATTCATAGACAAAAAAAAGGAAAAAAAATTGTTTTAATAATTTTCTTTTTTCAGTTTAGAAAGTTTAATGGAAAAACAGGAGTAATGAAAAAGGTTCTCCTTAAGGACCCTAACTATTCGCAGAAATTACTCGTTTATTACTAGGAATCTAACCATCACTACCAATTACTTTGACCCTAACTATTTAGAGAAGAACTGATAAAAAATTAACAAGGATTATCATTTTTATTTTCTATTATAGAGAAAAACGTGAATTTGACACTGCAATTAAAATTAACTTTATATAGAAAATATGTATAAATAAAATTTTTTCGATATTTAGATGTTGGTTTACATAACTTA